ATCTAGCTTCAGGAATCTCCATGGAAGAGAAGAGATAAAGAAAGGGGAAGGAGAAGGGAGGAGAGAGAGTAGAATCCAACGGGACCAAGTGATTCTGATGAGAGTCTCACCTATGATCGCCCCAGAGCCCTTGTTTTGGTTATTTATAGCTGTATAATAATCCTACAATTTAGTGTCTGAAAACCTATTTTATCATCTCTAATGATTCTCTGGGTTAACTGGGCTCGGCTGGACTAGTTTTCAGCTCCATGTGATGTGGGTTGTGGCTCTGTTCACCTGGATGGTCAGCAGGTCGGTGCTATTCCCAAAGCACCCTCCCATGGCTGGCGGGCTGGCGGGCTGGCGGGCTGGTGGCTGGTGGCTGGCAGCTCAGCGGGCTGCTGGCTGGGGTAGCTTCACTTGGCCTTTCCATGTAGCATGTGCTTTTCACAGTGTGGCCTCTGAGCTCCCAGAGGAGGGAGGCAGAAGCTGCCAGGCCTCTCAAAGGCTAGGCCTCCACCTGGCTTCCCTTTTCAGTGTTTCCAATTTGACTTTGAACTTAAGGCCTTTTGGGAGCTTCCCTGGGAAAACTCTCCTCCACCTGATATTTCGGAGTGTGTGATTTCCTCCTTTTTTTAATATTTATTTTTTAGTTGTAGTTGAACACCCTATCTTTATTTTATTTATTTATTTTTATGGGGTGCTGAGGATCGAACCCCGGGGCCTCGCATGTGCCAGGCAAGTGCTCTATTGCTGAGCCACAGCCCCAGTCCCCAGGGTCTCCGTTTTATTTTGTTTCATTTTGGTTTTGCTGTTATAATGTAAGTGGAACCTGGGAAGGAAAAGGACTAAATGAGCCAGCTTTCTACCACTGTAATAATTACTGGAGACGGGCTACTTGTGAAGTAGAGAGAGGTTTCTTGAGCTCATAATGTAGAGGTTCAAGTTCAAGACTGAGCCATTGCTTTGGGCCTTTGGTGAGGACAGCAATGGCAGGAATACACTGTGGAGCAACCCGTCACCTCTTAAGCCAGGAAATGGGGCTGGGCGCTGTCTGGCTCACAAGACCCTTCAAGGTGACATCCTGGATGACCTGAGAAATTCTGACTCCATCCTTCCTCCTGTGGTTCCACAGTGTCTCCCAAGAGCACCCGCCTCGGGGACCAAGCCTTCGCATCTAGACCTCTGGGGAGCACTAGCCATCTTCAGACCATGGCAGGGTTGTTTAGTCTACTCTCATCAACCAGCACCAAATATTTAGCTTTTTGTTGGCATGCTCTGGAATTTTTATCTCAATCTATTACTGACAAAATAGTATTATATTTTCATAGCGTATAACAGTTAAAATGCATTTCTTTCGGAAGTCATTAGAACTGTATTATTCCGAAATACTAGGTACCACAGAATTAATGTTTCACTGAATAAAATATTGGCTGTTAATTTATCTCTCTCACAGGTTTTCCCTGTGTAAATTCTTAGTCTGATTCTTTTTTTCAGATAGCGGTTGTTTTTTTTCAAGTATATTTTTCAGAGAGATGTAATTAATGCTAAAAAAAAATCACAGTTTTTACATTTTTAAGAACATATTTTCCATGCTTTTTTTTACATTTGAAAGAGATGCCGGCTAGGATGAGAATTCCTGTGTCAAATTCTTTCTTATCAACGTTGTTCCGTTATCTTTTTCATCTGGCATTGCTGTGGAGAGCCATCTGAGGCTCTCCTGGTTTATATTTTTTTACCCCCTTAAAGGTGACAACTTCCTTCTACCTGGATTTTCCTGACACTTCATTCATTCTCCAAATTAAATGACTTCTTCAGGATATGTCTTGATCATGGTAGAACTCATGACTCTTTCCTGATTCATTGTTTTAATCTGAAGTTTAGATATTTTCTTTTGGGAGAATCTCTGTTTTATGTAATCTTGGAAAAATTTTTGGTCCCATTTGATTGGGTTTTTCTCTTCTCTAGGAATACCTATTATATATGTACTGAATCTTTCTGTCTCTTTTTTTTACATCTCTTACTCAGATGTTAGCTTGGTCCTTTAAGATCGAGATAACTGGGGCTGGGGATGTGGCTCAAGCGGTAGCACACTTGCCTGGCATGCGTGCGGCCCGGGTTCGATCCTCAGCACCGCATACAAACAAAGATGTGTCTGCTAAAAACTAAAAATAAATAATTAAAATTAAAAATAAATTAAAAAAAAAAAAGATCTAGATAACTGATTAAGCCCCCAAAGAATTCTAAGACCTATAAGAGACCACAGCTCTCAGAATTTTATTTAAATTCTGTGTCTCCATTTCTCCTCATATCCTCAAAAATGCAAAGCTCATTTAAAAAAAATAATTTTCACAAGGAATTAACTAATGTCAATAATGATTTTTATTTGAATTTACTTAAGATTCTCAGGTTTGTGATCTCATGTCACCTCTTTTACTCTTTCTTTCCTCCTTCTCTGCTTTTCATCTCCTCCATCATGGATGGCGACTCCAGCTCCAGATTCTTCCCTCTTATGTCTACAGAGCACCTCCTCTCTTTAAAACCTTCTTGGGGACTTAAGCTAGAGCAGGAAATAGGATGCAGGTGGAGAACTTAGAACTCATTTTCTGCCTTTTCAATCTGCTCAGCCAAACAAAGGCTTTAGTCACAGGTGCATTCAGGTGTTGAAATGATGTCATCAAGATTATATTTCCAACTCTTCCTCTCAGGTTCTATTTGCTTCTGCTTCCTTCTGCATGTGGCCTTATTCCCTTCTGATACAAATATGCTCATTATATGTGGCGGGAACAGTGGCTTCTGCTAGCCCCAACCTTATGTATAGAACCTTATCATTCATGGCACAAAAGCGGGACACTCCCTCCCTTTCCTAATATTTCACATATCAAATCTCTCGGAAGAAATGCGTTTGGAATTGGGTCAATGCCCAATTGCATTGTGTAAACGTGGCTGAGGTGGCATGATTGGATGGGGTAGGTTTTATATCCAGTCTGTAGCTGGTCCCATGGGAATCACATGGGATCTGTGAAGACCAATTCTCCAGTGTAAAGATGGGGGTTTTGTTGAGGAGACAAAAGCAACAGATGTCTACCACACCTCATGCTCTTTGAGATGGAAATGTGCCTTAGCTGAATTCCCTCTCCCTCCCTTGGCTCACCCTACTCTCTAGTCAAAGGTTACTTACCAGATCTTTCCGAACCATATCAGTATTTGCATCGGGTTAAAGATTTGGGGAACTTGCCCATCTTGGATTTTCATGTCTTTGTGATTCTTTTTTTGGTCTTAGATTTTAGGGAGAGGAGCCAGAATGGGAAGTTACTTCTGTGAAAGGTCTTTGTTTTTGTTTTTGCTCTCCTGTGAACTATGGTGGAAATTGCAAAGAAGATGAAAATACATAAGAAAAAGGGAAAAGACTATAGGAAAAGTGACCTCATCCATTCTAATCTTTTCCAAGTAAAATTATAGCTGCAGCAGATTTCACACGAAGAGGCTCAGGGAGTTAAAGCAGGGCAACTCCATCAATAAAAGTGCTCACTCCATGAGCTGTGCATGGTGGCGTGGCACATGCCTTAATTCCAGCAGTTTGGGAGGCTAAGGCAAGAGGATCATGAGTTCAAAGCCAGACTTAGTAACTTAGTGAGGCCCTAAGCAACTCAGGGAGACCCTGTCTCTAATAAAATATATAAAAAAGGCTGAGGATCTGGCTCAGTGGGTTCAATTCCCATTACCAAAGGGGAAAAAAAAAAAGAAAAAGAAACACTCTGCTCATGTGATTAGGTACCTGAGTGCTACTAGTCAAAGTCTTGCTTTGAGGTTACTCATTGAAAGTGACAAGAAGTTATTGAGCATTTCAGATTTGCCAGGCACTCTGGTAAGCACTGACTATGAACATAGGTGATTAAAACAAACTGCACCTTAACTTAAGATCTAGCTTTGGTGCTACATCATTCCTTGACTTCCTCTGTCCACTCCATTCTTTATCATAAGTGATGAGTTTTGGAAATGCTACAGTATTTCCATTAAACACACACACACACACACACACACCCTCACTTTTAAGTATGGTAACCACCATTTGTTGATTACATTGTTCCTTACATTCACTTTTTTTTGGGGGGGGAGTGGTACCGGGGATTGAACTCAGGGGCACTCGACCACTGAGCCACATTCCCAGCCTTATTTTGTATTTTATTTAGAGACAGGGTCTCACTGAGCTGCTTAGCATCTTACCATTGCTGAGGCTGGCTTTGAACTCTTGATCTTCCTGTCTCAGCCTCCTGAGCTGCTGGGATTACAGGTGTATGCATCACCGAGCCCAGCATACATTCACTTTATATGCCATCTTAACCCTCTCCCCAACTCTGTGAAGTCAGTGTGATTATCTCCAATTTACCATGAGAGCAGTGAGGTTTAAGGGAGTTGTATTAATTTCTCAAGATCAAGGAGCAGAATCCAAAGGAAATGAAAGCACTTGTCTTAAAGAGATGTCTTCATTCTCCTGTAGCATTCCTCACAACAGCCAAGATACGAAAACAACCTATGGTGTATGCCTACAGGTGGATGGATGAAGCAAGTGTTGTGTGTAAGTGCGATGGAGTGTTCTTCAGCCTTGAGAAGGAGAGAAATGCTGTCGCTGGCTATGTGGCTGAACCTGGAGGGTGTCATGCTTCACGGAGGAAGCCAGGCACAGATGCATCTGAGATCTCAGTCGTGGAAGTCTTAGAAGGGATGAGTTGAATGGTGATTGCCAGGGGCTGGGGATTTGGGGGAAGGAGGAAGATAATGGTCAAGAAGTAAGGAGTTTCAGTTACAAAAGGAATAAGCTCTGGAGATCTCAGGTACAGTATGGTGACTGTGGTGGGTAATATGGTATCTTATACTTGAAGTTTGCTAAGAGAGTAAATCTTAAATGTTCTCAACACACACAATGGGCAGCTATGTGAAATGATGGGTGTGTTAATTAGCTTGATTATGGTAATCATTTCACAACTTATATACATATCACAACATCACACTGACTGCATCCACTGATAGACCTTGGACAATTTGCTCTTGTTCTTTTGGTTTACACTAGATTCTTTTCTGTCTTTGGGGCAGTCCAGATTCAACTGGGGAATATGTGTGTAGGAAGAAAAAAAAAGAAAGAAAAGAAGTAAAACATCGCATTGAGCTGGGCGCAGTGGTCCATGCTTATAATCCCAGTTACCTGGAAAGCTGAAATAAGAGGATCACAAGTTCAAGGTCAGCTTAAGCAATTTAGTGAGACCCTGACTCAAAAATAAAGAAAAGGGAGGGGGAGCAAGGGATGTAGTTTTCCCTAGTACATTAAAAAAAAAAAAATCACACTGTACAGTTAGATGTATACAATTTTTATATGTTAATTATATCAGTAAAACTATGGGGGGTGAAAGTGACAGAGCCAGATTTAGAATTCCAGTCTTCATTTTCTCTCTCCTAAGGTGTCTTCTCTTTCAAGGCTTTTTTTGTGTGTTATCTTTGCCTCCGACAGGTAACTGCCCCCTGGCCTCACAGGTTGACCAAGGTCATCTTTGTCCCCTGGCCTACATTAGTGCCTCCTGCCTGCCTTTGTATCAAGTGTCCACTCTGGTCCAACCAGCTGTGACTGCAGTAGGAGGAAAAGTCCCCTTAGGACAGGATGCAAGCATTCATCAACATGCCTGGCCTTGCATGCAGACTCACCTGAATGCATGTTGTTTTTTTTTTTAAAGATTTATTTATTTATTTATTTATTGGTTGGACACAATACTTTTATTTTATTTATTTTTATGTGGTGCTGAGGATCAAACTCAGGGCCTCACGCATGCTAGGCGAGCGCTCTACCTCTGAGCCACAACCCCAGGCCCTGAATGCATGGTTTTATTAACTAATGTGTGTTTATTAAATTTGTATCATATCTGGTAGGGACCAAATACATATTTTTAAGTGATTAGGAGGTGATATGAAGTTAAAACTAGAAAAACAGAAGGGGGGAACGTGTCGATTGGTTGGATTTTAAAAACAGGAAAGGAAAACAAGAACACAGGCTGTTCTGTATTCGTGTTAGGGAAGAGAGTTTCCAAACCAGGAGGCAGAGAGATCCCAGAGCAGACGGATACATTATGGGTTCTTTCATTCCAGTAAAAATACCTGGCAGCAGAGTTAGCACCCTTCGTTAGCTTCTACAGAACCTGTTTATGACTCATTTTTATTTTTATTTATGTCTTGCTGTGCTGAGGTCAAACCCAGAGTCTACACACGCTAAGCAGGCACTCGACCACTAACATACACCTGCTGCCCCATTTTGTGGTTCTTAAGTTTACCAGGTAAACCTGGCACAGGGGAGGGGATGCTCTGGTGAGTATCTGGGTTTTTTTTTTTTTTTTTTTGAGAACATTCCCTTGTCTGCTACAATCCTGGGCTCGCCATCTGGTTTTACAAAGAAGACCCCTGTTTAGGTGAAGCGAGACAGTGACCTCAGTTTACCTTGTTCACCTGCAAGTTCACCATGAAAGCTCTGAAACCTCAGAGCAGAGAAAGCAAACCCTAAACAGATCACCTCACTGCAGCAAAATGAAACCAAACAGGTTCAACCTGAAAAGTGCCTGCTGGCCTTCCCCATTTCCTCACCTGGGTGAGTTTTGAGATCATTCACCAAAGGGACCCGCTTTTTGTGTGTGAGTCTAAAGTCAATGCTCATGTCCCGGGATTTCCTACAGCTCATAAATTAGCTCCAAGACACAATGCCTCTACTGTTTGTCTCTGACAGTCACTCCCTCATACATTTTGAGGTTACAGAGGTAGATTTTTTTTTGTGTGTGTGTGTGTATGTGTGGATAAGGAAGAAATAAATTTCATAAACACAAGCTGGGAACCAAGATGAAGCCAAGGAAAGAAATCTGGGAAGGAAAGCAGACCTCAATCTGTATAGGAGTCAGCAAAGCCCTGGGGCATACTTGTACACACGTGTGCACACACACACATGCACATATAGTATTTGCAAATGTTCCATGTCTGTAAGACAATTCTACCTTTTTCTCTGTCCATCTCCAATGAAGACACAGAGCACTGTCACAAAGAGAGCCGCAATGGTGGCACAAAATCTGGAAAACTAGACATATGAGGAGAGTGTGAATAAAACCTAAGATGTTTTATAGGAATGCAATCATAACCAATCAATGTGAGTCCTTATATGTAAGGAAATAGCAAGGTGGAGAGGGGTTTATTATGGGGTTAGTTCACACCACTTGCTGGCAGAAGCACAAGGTACAGTCGTCAAAAATGCTTTATGGTAAACCTTCAAAGATGATAAGCTCTATCATTAGACTATTCAGGTACAATAGCGGCCAATGGCTGTTGCATTCTGCCCTTTGCCATTAAATTCTGGTGGAAACACCACGAAATGGGTGCTATTGCATCCTCATTTTACAAATGATAAAACGGAGGCACAGAAAGGTTATGTATCTTGGTCAAGGTCTTGCTGCTAGAGTCAGGGAAGGTTTTAGACCAAGGAAGCCTGGCTATGTCTTAGTTTTCTACTGCAACCCAAATACCGGACAAGAACAACTTTGGCTCACTGTTTCAGTGGTCTTAGTCCACAGTTGGCTGACTGTATGGCTGTGGGACAGAAGGGAATGGTGGAGGAAAGCTGCTTGACTCAGGGTAGTTGGGAAGTAGAGGAAAGAGAGAAAGAGGAGAGACAGAAAGGGGCCAAGGATAGATGCAGGCCCCAAGACCACATACCTCGTGGCCAACTCCCACCTACCTATTGTTTTCACTGTAAATTCATTTCCATTAATAATCCATCAAATGAATTAATCCATGGATGGGGTCAGAGACTTTATGATCTAATCTTTTTACTTCTGAACCTTGCGACATTGCCTGATGTCTGAGTTTTAAGGGGACATTCCAGATTGGAAGCATAGCAGGCTGCATAAGGGGAATTCTAGTTCATATAACACCCTCATCTGTGGAGCTCAGTCCTTGCGTCTGGCCTTTTTGAGTTTGTGATTGTGATGATTATTTTCATGGGTCAAATTTAACTGTGGAACGGGGTGCCCAGATTAAACATTGTTTCTGGTAACATCGGTGAGTGTGTTTCTGGGTAAGATCAACATTTGAATTGGTGGAGTTGATAAAATAGATGTCTCTCTCTGGTATGGTTGGGAATCATCCAGTCCTTTGAGGGCCTGAAAAGGGCAGAAAGGCAGAGGAAGGAAGAATTTGCCAATTTTGGCTTCCTGACTTCATGTTTAGGCTAGGACTGGGTCTTCTCCTGCCTTTGTACTGGACTTTACATCCTAGGCCGCTCTGGTTCTCAGGCTTTCAAACTAAGACTGAAATTACACTACCTACTATCCTAGGTCTCCAACTTGCAGCTGGCAAATTGTAGAACTTCTCAGTCTCCTGATCTCTTTCTCTCTCAGAGTCAGAGTCAGCCCTCAGTATTTACATATTATGCATCTATGGATTCACCCAACATCCATGGATTGAAAATATTTCCCCCCCCCAAAAAAAATGTTGCATGGTTTCTGACATGTCATTGTATAGTGAGGCCTAAGATGGGTGCCTCTGTACTGAACATGCACAGACTTTTTTCTTGTCTCTACTCCTGAAACAACAGAGTATCACAACAATTTACAAAGCACGTATATTATACTCGGTATTAAAAGTCATCTAGAGATAACGTAAAGTATACAGGAGAGTTAGGTAGGTTATATTCAAAATACTATGCTATTGCATTCTCCGGACTTGAGCATCTGTGGATTTTGGCATCTTGGCTGGGGAGGGAGGTTGGAATCAATTCCCTATGTGTGGATAGGGATAACTGCATGTCCTATTGGTTTTGTTTCTCAGGGGAACCTTGACTAATACAATTACAGTACTGCACTCTATGCTCATTTGAAACCACAGAAGCACAGGCATTCTCAGGTGGAAACCTGAAAGAGACCTTCATTTTATTCTAGGAGGATCCTTTCTGGGGCCTCTTCAGTTCCCTGTGCTTAAGGAAGCTAGCAGGTGAGAGATTGAAATGCATGTATTTCCACCTGAAATAGAAAGTGCTGTTTAATAATGTCATGCTGTCATTAATGTGCCTTTCAATCATACGAAAGGTGGGGGAACGTCTTCATTTTGAGTAGAGATATTCTCTTTTCTTTTTTCTTTCTTTCTTTTTTTTTTATTGCAATGGGATTTCTCTTCTTGGACCTGAGGTGGTAGATGTAGTTGAAGAGGAGGAACTAGGCCCCAACAACACACTGGTAGGCTGGATGTACAAAACAGAGTCCAAGGAGACCCAACTGAAGGAGTGTGACCAATGGACGCTATGAGCCGTGACAATAGCTATTCGGTCTTGCATTTTCCTTTTCTGCAGAACAGTTCCCTGGTGGCTGCTTCAAATCCCAAAACATGGCCGCCTTGCCTTTCCGATTTGAGCAATAAGGCAAAGGACTCTTCCCTTGGTAGAAGACGGAAAGAGGGGCAGCAGGCAGAGAAATAGTTAGGAAACATCCAGAGGAGAAAAACAGAGAGATCTCTAGGTGTGGGGACTGCAAAAGGTGAGTCAAGACAAGATGTGGAAAGGAGAAGCAATACTCACTCACCCGGAAGGGGAGGAAATTGGACCTTCTGCCAACAAGCAGGGTGGGAGTTTCAATTGTGTGGCCTTTAAATAGCAGTGTTTGCTTGGCCGCCACACACACACACACACACACACACACACACACACACACACACACATCCACTGGAAAGCTGGAGGGCCTGGGGAGGATTCAGGTGGTTGTCATTAAATGCACGAATTCTCATATGTCTTGAATCTTAGAAAAGTCCTGTGGATAACCAGAAAGTGACATTACCTGCCACTCTCATTGTCCCTGTGGCAGATGGGGGTCATGATTGATAGTAAATTAAAGGAAACAAAACTACAGAAGTAACAGAACTGCAACTAGGAGAAAAATTATTTATGCCACATGTAAATGCATGCCTTATTGCAAATAGCAACTTATCCCTTCTGATGATTTTAGACAACTGAAAGGGAACCTGTGCTATAGCCCAGAAGATGCAGATTCCAGCCAGGAACATTTAGATTCTGTTGACATTCATTTTTATAAAGAATGTAATGTAGTCA